CATGCCCTTAGTGTGACTGATTTTCAGATCTGGATAGGCCATCGAGTTGTTATTTCTGCTCGTCCTGGGAACACTAGTAGGTTTCATGGAGAATTTAGAGTGGCAAGTATAAGGGTTTTGGAGACACATATTTCACCTTTGTCATTTACAGGCTGTGTTAATCTTGAACACATTTCCTCATCATTAGAGGTAAAAGTTATTTTTTAAGAAGAGAGGAATTGGGGGAATGACCAATGAAGAAGGTTGAATTACTAAAGTCACCTTCATCTCTGCTTTAAAAATGTTTTCTTTTTTCAATTATAGTTGACATTCAGTATTTTTTAAAGATTGATTTCGGGTGTACAGCATAGTGGTTAGACACATAATTTACAAAGTGGTGCCCTGATAAGTCTCTTACCCTCCTGGCACCATACATACTTATTACAGTAATATTGACTATAATTCTCCACTTTGTTAATGTAGAGACAACTTGTATAAAAGCACTTCTCTGCACCTTGTAATTTTTGTGCATTGAAGATCATATTTCACACAGGTGTAAAGTGTTTAGCAGAAACCTGGCTAATAATTAATTAATTAAAAGGTATAAAGTGTTTAGCACAAACCTGGCTATTAATTAATTAATTAATTAAAATATTGTTCTGTGCTTTTGCAGGGGAAAGTGATTAGGCTAATGAGAAATGTATACTTTTGATTTAGAAATCCTATTTTAAAACATTAAGATTATTATCAGCCATAGCTGTTGAGTGTACTCCCCCCCCCATGTTAAATTAATTTTTTTTCAGTTTGTATACCATGTGGAGCTTAAAAGTCTTACATATTCAGATAGACAGTTTTTCTCCTTTATTGTTTTTACTTTTGTCATTTCTAACAAGAGGGTGCCCCCCTCCCAAACTTTTTTACATTTAAATCTTTAAGCCAGCATTTTTTTTTTTCAGGGAGGGGGTATAATGTGATGCTAACTTATTTTAGAAATGGTTATCTAATACTAGAGGACCGGTGCACCTTGCACCGGTGGGGTCCCTTGGCCTGGCCTGCACCCTCTCATAATGCTGGACCCCTCGGGGGATGTTGGATTGCCAGTTTCAGCCCGATCCCTGCAGTCCAGGCTGAGGGACCCCAGTGGTGCACGGAATCCGTGCACCGGGCCTCTAGTATGCATATAAGATCTTTGGTTAATCTCTTCCTGCCCTTCCCCCTTCTCCCTTTCCCCTTCCCTCTGAGATTCATCAGCCTGTTCCATGTTTCCATGCCTGTGCATTGAGCGTCTGCCCCCTAGTGGTTAGTGCGCATCATAGCTACCAGTCGAATGGTCGCATAGGCTTTTTTAAAATATATATATATATATTGTTTAGTGCCATTTATATGTAAGTAGTCCTTTTCCCACTTCCTGAGTATTCATGAAATTAGAGACTTAGGAAAACAGAAGCTAGAAATTAATTGAAGTTGTCTGGAGACAAGTTTTGAGTGACCCAGGCTCTGATCTTCAAAGAATGGTGCTGTGTCAGTCTCATGAGCATGGGCTCCATTACCGCAGCTGATCCGTCCGTGCCTTGCAGTTGCACTGTTGGCTTGTGGCACCTCATTCAAGCTTCCACATTCTCATGCTGGATATGCCTGAACTTATCCCTGACTCTGTAAGTTGTGCATGGTTTTCACTAAAGCCTCATAGACGTTTTGATAAGAAGAAAAGCTTTTTTTCAGTTTAATTAAAAAGTATAGAAGACTTTCCATGATCAGATTTAGGTTTTTAAAGAAAACTTTAAGTTTGAGAACTGATATTGTGGTGAGCATTGTGTTAAATGTTCACTTTAATCCAAAGCATGAAATGTCTCAATTTTTGTAACATTTTTCAAGTACTGAAATTTTTGGGAATTTTATTTTTGGCCAGCTTTATTTTTTTAAACTTTTGATGTGTAAGTCCACAGGAAGTGGCTGAGTTACCCCATGTTCACTCATTTTCCCTCAGCAGTAAAATGTTGCATACCACTATATATACATAAAACCTTATATACTACTATATCTGGAATATGTATGTATCAATATACTGTAATATTATAACCCCAAAATTTGACATTGAACAACCCATACTTCAGTTTTTAGGTATCACCAGTTGTACATGCACTCATTTGTATGTGCAATTTTGTGTAATTTTATTATAGATGTTAATTCATGTAATCACACAATGACGACGCAGATCCTTTGTGCTACCACTGATCAGTTTGCTTTTGGACAAGCCATCTAGAGCTAGAAACTTTAAGCCATAAGAAAGTTGAGGATGAGCCACAGAAAAGTTTTATTTCAATTTGATTCACAGTGAAAACACTGCATTTATGGACTTGTCTGATTTTTTATATCACTGTTTACTGAAGACATACCCACTTAGCTTAGCTTACAGTTTTGCTCCATTAAAAGTATTTAATAGAGTTACTGTCTTTTGAATGTTATATATCTAGTATCCATTTCTAATACTTTAAGGAATAAAAGAAAAAACAATTAATAACCAGAACTTGGATAACTACCTTTATTTTCCAGTATTTTTAAGCTTTATTAATTTTTTTTGGCCTGAAGCTACAAGTGCTTTTCTTAATTTATTGCTTATAGTAACAGTTACTGTATGTAATGAGTTTCTACTCTGTATCTTAATTTTTAAAATCAATTTTTCATAAGAGAATGTAAATTTGGGAGGTAAGACACTTTAAATTATGCCACCTTTTGCCAGCAGCACCTCAGTGTTTTATGATTAAAAAAAAAAAAGCATCTGTATTCACTAGTGCCTATGTTTACATCCCCATTAAAGAAAGGCAAAAAACCATCCTCTATTAACTGTGGTTTCTGATAGTAAGTTATAGTCAAGAAACTTACCTAAAACTTAACTTTTTTACCTGTAGCTTCATCTTGACAGCGATTACTGAGCTGGCAAGTTCACTTTTAAGTGTACACTCAAGAGAATTGCAAACATGTGTTCACAGGAAAACTGCATGAATAGTCATAACAGCATTATATATAATAGTAAAAATTGGGAAACAGCCCAATGTCTATCACCTGATGAATAGATAAACAAAACGTGTATATCCATCCATAAAATGGAATATTGTTTGGCTATAAAAAGGAATGGAGTGTACTGATAAATGCTACACTGGGTGAACCTTGAAAATACTATGTCAGTAAATGAAATCAGACTCAAAAGGTCACATATTATATGATTCCGTTTATGTGAAATGCCAGTAACAGGCAACATCTATGGAGACAGAAAATAGATTTGTGGTTGCCTAGGGCTGATTGAGGATTGTAAGTTGAAGCAAAAAATGGTATTATTACGTAATTTTAAGCAGTAACTTTTATAGAAAAATTTAATTAGGGAGTAATTTTCTTTGAGAGTTTATTATCCATTTTCTACTGTTGTAAGGTTTGACATGGAGAGATGGAATAACCAGATTAGTTATTTCCTTCCTGGAACAAAGGTGCACTTTAGGATTGATTATCAATGAATTGTGGATTTGTTGAAAGAAAACCGTGATAATGTCTGAATCTGAAGGATGGAGATATCTGTTTGAACAGGTTTGTTGTGAGGCTTAAAGGGATATGAAAACACTTGAATCTGAAAAGAACTTTTACCACCACTACTGAGCCTATGTCTCTAGTATGAAATGCAAGTCTTAAAAAACTCATAACCATGTCAGGGAAGGGACAAACGTAAATTTCCTGATCAACTTGTATGTTTTACTGGTCTGCACACAGTTCCTTTTTTTCTGATTTATCAACCACCTACATTAAGGTATGTAACATTGTATGTTATGTTTGAAAAGGGTGTTCCTTTAAGGAAAATCAGATTGCAATGTAACTTTCTCCCATTGATTTTAAAATTTAGACTGTAGTTGTATGCAGTGGTGTACACAATTACTTAGGCAGCATTTAAAAGCCACCAGTGCCTGACCCTATTCTTGGAGATTGATTTAATAGGTCTGGTGTGAGGCATTGGCACTAGTGAGAGATATAATCAGAGATCTTTGCGAATCTGAAATTACATAGACCTTTCCTTGTAAGAACAGTAACTTATAATTTAATCCGTGGAGAGAAAACAAAGCTTCAGGGTGATGGGATATGAGGTGACCTGGCTTAGTACCTCACCCTGAGTTCATACTTGGTTAATTTAATACCCAGGCCTCCACTGTAGTGATTTTAAACTAGACTGTTTTGAAAAGGAATAACAGTGAAAAACATACTTTTTGTAACATGAAGCATTGTTTTTTGCAATCGAAGGAGAAAGAACACATTCGAGCCTCCATTTTAGTGTGTATAATATAGCAAACCTGACGTAATGTAGATAATGAAACCGAGCCATGATTTCATATTTTTTCAATTTGAAACACCCTAAGAGAAGCTTTGATTGAGGATTAATTTGAAAACATTTAAATTTCCTCTTGCCTTTCATCAGCATTTGTGGCATTTTAATTTTGCTTCAGGATAAGCAAATATTTTGTTTGGCTAAAATGGATTTTATTCTAAGGGGAATATGTGTAGTTCATGAAGGTAATTTTAATTTTATTTTCTTAAGTAATCCTCACCGGAGGATATTCTTTCCACTGATTATTTTAGAGAGGGGTGGGGGAGGGGGAAGAGAAACATAGATGTGAGAGAGATGGTTGCCTCCCACACCCCTGTAACCGATGTACATGCCTTTGACTGGGAATAGAGCCAGAGACTCTTTGGTCCACAGGCTGATGCTCCAACCACTGAGCAAAACCATCCAGGGCAGAAGGAAAATTTTAGATGTACTCTTGTATTTTCTGTGTCGTCTAAGGAGGGGATTTTAATATATTAGGAGAGTTCCTGACTAGGAAACTGGTTTCCAATCTGTTGTATATTCCACCCTAAGGTTTTAAAGTTCTATTTAAAATAATGGTACCCTAAGTAATGGAGAAATCAATTTTCAAAAATCCTCAAATTACTGTAGCAATATTGAATTTGCAAAATTGGATTTGCAGTTTTATTGCTGTAAAATAGAATAGTAAGTTATGTGTTGGGGTAAATTCCTTGTTAGTTTTAAACTAAAATACTCACTTAGGACTCTATTTCTGTCTTACCCTGTTAGGTGTAAAGATTTCTCTCTGTGTTACTGGAATCCCTATTGGATGCTGCCCTCTGATGTTTGTGGAATGAACTGCTTTTGGGAAGCGGCTTTTAGGTAGGCACTTAATATTTAATTGGCAGATCAGTCAGGGTAGGTAAGATTAGATAGTAGATACATTTTTGATAATAAATAGGATATAAAAATGTTTTTTCCCTGTAATATTTTATCATACAAGTAAATGATTTATTTTCTAGTTTTTCTGTATTTTTTCCCTCCTACTTTGTAGTTATCGCTATTTTTTTAGTACATAATGCATATAAGATGCTCTAATATTTTTAGATGTTATTATGATAAATAAACCATTGTTCTTAGAATTTATGATTTAATTTTAGGTAACAAGTGATAAATAGGTGGTTTAAGATAGACTTCCACTGATATTTACAGAGATGTATACATATACGTGACATTTATATAATTTAAGTTGGTATACTAAACAAACGTTTTGTAAGTGGATGCGGACACCTGGGCAAGGAGCACTGGATTGGCCGACCTCTCTGGTCCCTTTCTTGCCCTAACTTTCAATGAAAGAAGCAAGTATTGAATGAGACATCAGCCTCTCTCCCTGAGATAGTGACAGGGGAGAGAGAGGCGGTAGCCTGAAATGCTCTTCCCAAAGGTAAAATTTGAGTCACCTACTTTTACTGTGTCTTGTGAGTCATTAAATTTTACTCAGTCAGTTTGCCAGGCACTGTGCTCCGTGCTGAGAACCAGACTGTGAGTCTAGTTAATGTGGCTTCATCTTCTGGAGCTTGCATTCTGACTGGAGCTAGTAAACCTGAGATTGCAGAGGGTGATGTATTATAAATAGCTTTGATGATGGGAGAAACAGGTGAAACAGGTGAGTCATCAGGTGGGGTTAGACTGAGGCATCAGGGAAGGCTTCCTGGAGGGAGCTACTGCATGATGAATAGGCTCAAGGACAGGAGGTGAAGTAGTCTAGGTGGGAAGAACTAATACACATTTTTAATATGTAATAGTATGTATTTTAAAATTCTTATATTCCCTATACATTATGTGTTTCACAAACTACTGGGAGGAAATCGTTGAAATCAGATATTTTAATTATATCTCACTGCTATGGAAAGATTGAAATTCTAATATGGATGAGTCAAATCAGATCATTCAGACTTTTAAAAATGATCTTATCCTTTTGAAAGTTAATCTCATCCTTCAGCTTGATCATAATTTTGGAGAATTGGGGCTCCATATTTTTCATTCTTATAAAAGTCTGCTAAATGAATAGAGCCTTGACAAGCACCACCTTGCTGGTTTCAGCCTTGTGCCATAAATTCCTCACTCTAGAAGCTTGGTAAGTTTGAAAACTTCCATATACTTTGATCTATACAACCCAGACTCTTTTGTAAGTTATAATCATAAGGCATGAGGAATAATCTTCCTTCTCAACTGCAAGAGAAGCCCAGGGAAGTGGACCTGGTCTGAATCCCAGAGCCTCTAGTTATTATTACTCCTTTTGCTGCGGCTTCTCCAGTCCCTGGAAGGAATTACATGTGAATGAATATATAATGTAAACCCTTGTGCTTGTTACTTTCCTGAATTTGAGGTTTAAAAGTTACACTTCTCTGTTACACTCTTGTAATATTGAAGCCATGCTATATATCTGTAACCATTGTGTTTCTTACTTAGAACTTAGGATCCCTCACACTTAACTCATTCTCTTCACACACACAGCCAAGCCAAAATGCCATATAATAGCCACATCACTCCCTCCCTCCATTTCAGTATTTGTTCTAAATAATACCCCCTTTTCCCTGACTCCACGAGGTTGTCTTGTCTGCCCCACCTCTTTACTTCAAAGAAGTAAAGCTTCTTTGAAATTCCCTTTTACTGTCCCCTTAGGTCTCAGATTTTGCCTGGTACCAGTGGGGACCTAGCTGGCACCATTTTCTTCTTCCCAGGCCTGTCCCTGCTTTGCCAATTTGAATCTATCTATAATAATAAAAGGGTAACATGCTAATTAGACTGGGCATCTTCCAGATGTCCTTCCTGATGAAGCCGGGGCCAGAGGGAAGCCCGCCCGGGTCCTGGGTGCCTGCTGGTGACCTGAGGGAAGCCACCTTGGGTCCTGGGTGCCTGCGGGGGGCCAGAGGGAAGCCCGCCTGGGTCCAGGTGCCTGCGGGGGGCCAGAGGGAAGCCAGCTTGGGTCCCGGGTGCCAGAGGGAAGCTGGTGCTGGCAGTGGGGGGAGGGGGGGGAAGGAAGGCCTACTCTGCACGAATTTTCGTGCATCGGGCCTCTAGTTCTTTATATAATTTTACTTTGATCAAAGTTTATCTGGGAGGATTATTTTCTCCCCATTTATTATACAGTGAACATAAAATAACATAAAAAAGAAAATTGTCTCTTATTTACTCTCTTTCCCGTTACCAGCAAACATCTTAAGAGTGTCTACTGGCTTACTTCTACCAACCAACCAACCAGCCCATCCTTCACATCTCAGTCCACTATGCGTGGCGCCTGCCTCTCATTGAAGTCACCCCTGCCTCTGAACTGTTCTTCTGGGCCTCATCTCACTTTTCTTGTCCGTTTGACACTGGTGACCACTTCTTCTTTCTTTCAGCTCTACCAGTCTATGGCTCTGGAGACCAGTGTCCTCAGCTCTTTGACCTGAACTCCTAAACATCGAAGTTCCTTAGAACTCTGCTCTTTCCCCTCCCCACTGAGGATAATCTGTTTAACAGGTGTATCTAGTCCAGATCTCTCTTCTGAGCTCCACAACTGTATTTCCAGCTGCATGTTGGTTATTTTACCTTGCCAATTCAGATGCCTCAGACACTCTTGTTCAGACCTGAACTCGTGGTCTAGCTCCTCCCACTTTCCCTCATCTATAGATTGTATCGTGGTTTACGACTGACTTTCACCTGTCAGTCCACAAGACTCTTCTACTGGTCTCCTTTCACTGTTGCTCCTGACGGCGGCCTCCTTCCTGTTGCCTTATCTACCAGTCATCATCACTTCTTATCCAGCCATTGAATCTTGGTTTACAACTGACTTTCACATGTCAGTCCACAGTGACACTTCTACCCTTTTCCTTTCACAGTTGCTCCTGCCGGCCTCTTCCTTCCTGTCGCCTTATCTGTCATGCTCATCGCTTCGTATCCAGCTAGTGTGATCTCCCTTCCCTGCCACTGCTCCTGCCTTCTCTGTATCTTCTGTATTATTTTACCTATTTCATTGGTTGTGGTTCTGAATCATCTTGTAGACTGTTGACTTTACAGATAGCACATTGTATTCATCATGTAAGTTATGTTTTAGCAATTAATACTTATATTTAGTGTAAAATTTTTATTTATTTTTTAAAGAATAGTTTATTGATTTTTTTTTTCCCACTGGTGCTTGGCAACCAGTAAATAACTAATGATTTTCCTCAGAACTTTCAGACTAGCCTACATGTTTGTGTAGTAAGCTTCTTGAGCAATCTCAATTTTTTTCTATTTTAATCAGTTAACCATTATTTCTGATTAAATCTTTTAAAATTCTGTCTTTTCACCAAGGTTGTAAATTTGTGTGAGGTAAGGATTGTGGTTTTCCTGCTTGTCGCCAATGTCTGGCATATGAAAGGAGTTCACATATTCATTACAAAGAATGAATTATTATATTATGTTCTAAAAATTATATGGATTTAAGTGTGCAACAGGATTGTGTGAATCTACCGGTGTCTCCATAACCTTAAGCACATTATTGGGAGTTATAATTTTACCATATAATAGGGTAAAATGAATACTTGTTTCTGATTTATATTTTGTTGATTATTTTTTGAATATATTTCCATATTTATTTAGCTTTTAAATTTTTTCTATATTGATATTTTACCTATTGAATTTTTAGTGCTTATTTTATGAACTCATAGAATTATATATTCTGCTTTTGCCATGGATCACAAATATCTTCCTAATTTATTTCATTTTTAATTTTTAGTTATCTTTCCATTATGCAATCTCTTAATGTTAGTATTATTATAAATATTGTTTTAATATACTAATTTTTCTAAGAGTTGAATTTTTAAAATACTTAATCTTTCTCTTTATGGTGGGAATCAATTTTCAGTTCATGGAGTCTATGGGTATAGGTGAATTTAATGTTATCTATCTTCTCTTGAATGGTCACATGTTCATTTTAAGAAATATATATTTACAGGTAATTTTATTTTTTAATAGGTTGTTTTAAATTATGTTTTAGCAATTAATGCTTATATTTAATATAGAATTAAAATTTTTTTAAAAGAATAGTTTATTGATTTTATTTTTTTAATTCTATATTAAATATAAGTATTAATTGCTAAAACCTATAAAATATTCTTTAAATAGTATTTTTTTTCTGATTTCCCCCTCTCAGCATTTTACTTCCATTAGTTTCAAATCCTCAAAGGTTATAAGAACAGTATAGCAAGCACACTACATACCCTTCACCTAGCTATTTATCTATTATTAATTAACATTATGTTTTACCAGCTTTTTTTTTGTTTTGGCTGAACCATTTGAGAGTCAGCTGCAGCCCTTGTTACACCCACCTAGTTACATGTGTTCAGCTTGCAGCTCCTAAGAACAAGGACATTCTCTAGTGTAAGTGTAATAAAATTGTTACTTCAGGTTGCTTAACACTGACAGACTATATATTCATATTAATATTTCTTTATTTTTCTGTTAATAAATTTTATGTCTTTCCTCCCTCATTCAGGATCCACTCAAGAGTTATATATTGCATTCAGTTGTTAGATTTCTTTAAAAGTCTCTTTC